TTGCTAAAGAGAAGTAAAAAAAGCAACAAATCACCTGTAATTTCTCAGTACAAATTGAATTATAACTTGTGTATGAAAAAGCAGAGGTAAAAAAATGCATCCTTGGTTATATGCTTACAGCTTATTACACGGAAAGCCTCTTGTCTCCACAGAGCAGAGCACCCACCTCCATATGAAGCAGAAATAGAGCTATCTGTATAATTCCAGAATCTTGTATTGTCCTTTTTTTTGTTTTGTCTTTTTTTTTTTTTTTCCTCTGCCTCTTCTCACATTTACTAGAGTTCTATGAAGCTAGTTTCCATTTTGTCTAAATAAGCAAACAGTACTAGAATTGCTGTTGCATGGACTTTGGTGCTCTGACTGTAGATACTGAAATAAAATTGCATATTAATTTTTCTGGTACAGGACAAAGCATGTTGAGTAGCCTTTTGAAAGCTATATGATTATGTTGCACAGGGTGGGTAAGTCTGAGAAAGCCCTTGGTATTGTAATATGAACTTCTGTTACTGTCTTCTGTTAGGAGTGTTGAAGGGAAATAGAAGCTTCCTTCAGACACTGAGATGTTTGTTGATAGAAGTTACACAGGCCTGATTTTAATAAGTTGATCTCTTTGAGAATTCATTTGCCTTGCTGATGTTAGCAAGCCTTGAGTTCCAATGAGCAATTGTAAAAGGCAAGCCAGTGAATTATCTGACTTGCTTATAACTGGCACCATTGTTATCATTTTGTTTCATTTGCCACAATAGTTCCCCTCTTTTTTGAAGATGAGCCAGTGGAAAAGTGACAATATGCATCAAAACTGCAAGCTAACATGTTTCTGCAGAAGTTGCATACTTGGCAAAGTGCAAAAGCAGTATTTCTTAACTAGGGATGCATCACAACAATTTTTTTGCAGTTAATAAGGAATTACTAGAGTAAAGTTTAGTCAGCATCATGTCATCTAAAGGGTTTGATTTTTTATTTTTTTTTTTCTTGGTGAAAAGCTGTAACTCTTGAGACTCATCAAAGCTGAATCTTGGCTTCTTTTTTAATTCCTGCATTTGTTGAATCACTTTTACTTGTAAGCGTGGTGGATGGATTTTGTATGTAGTTCTATACTGTGGCTCACATTGTATCATAGTCCCAGAGCATGCCAGTGTATTTATGACAAGCATTTGCCATGTTCAAAATGGTTCAGCTTAAATTCACTGACATACATTTTTTTGTTTTCTTCAACAATTTTAACTTTTTTACTGTGTGACTAGTACTTACCTTTTCCTATTTTCGGGATATTACTAATCTAGTATGACTTCTACTGGGAATATTTATATTTTCCTCCTTTTTCATCTCCTTTTCTTTTAGTCCTTTTTGATTTCCTTCCCTTCCCCTTACACACTCTCTGTTGTTAATTAGTAAATAAAGAAGGGAAGCGTGTAATCATAAATGCTGTGGCAGATTTGGTATTTTGCGATTGTAGGATACTCTTTTTTTTTTTTTTTTTTTTTTTTTTTTTTTTCCTCTCACTGTGGATACTACAGTAGTATTATATGCCATATATTTTGAAGTGGTTTAATGAAGTTTAATAAATGAGTGTGGGTTTTTTGGTATGGGGGGGAAAAAAAGCATATTTTTTTTTTTTAACTAAGGTGATTTGATCCTTGTCCACGCTGAGTGAATGTGTCAACTAAATTAGCTAATCATTAATAAGTTGTTTCAAACTACTTTTAAGTCAGTGATAGACACAGACAAAACTTGTCTAGTGGTTCCTGAAAATACATGTAATTCCTCAGGTTAGCCTATAAATTTTGTCTTCATGATGAAAACTTTGAGAACAAGCCAGACTGAGGTGTAATGTGTTCACTTAGGAGTGTATCTCATTAGCATAAGACTCACGTTTTTCTGAAGTTTTACTTCTGTTTCCTGTCCAAATGGATTAGTTTAGTCTCAATTACCTTACACACCAGGGTAAAATCCAAAAGCTGAAAGAGCTCTCAAGTGCTCAGTTATTCACTTAGGAGAAACTTAAGGGTCCTTCTGCATGGTTGACACAAGCACTTAGGAAGTACAGAAATTAGGGTTTTTCATGATTCTCCTAGCCTGTTGCAACATGTGGATGGGGCAAAACCAATGTTTGGTTTAGTCTCTTGCTCTCGGTTCTGTTGCCTGGTACCGTAGGTGACCCCAAGTTTTACAGGACTTTCCTCTATGCAACTTTTAGGCACTTGCAGCTATGGGCTGGCACAAGTCATATCAGTTGCATATATGCATGTATGTTGCATATATTTCATGTATGCTGATGTCTGTCAAGCCTGACAGACAGGCTTGTAAAAGAAGATTCAGTGGCTCATAGGGAACTAAATATGATCTATTGAACGTCTGATACATGATATTAGTTTGTTTGCTTTCAGTTGCTTGTAGCAGCTAAGTAGGTTTAATTTTTACTGTGATAAAAATCCCTTCCTCTGATACAGAGGCAGCCTTTTTTTCCTCTGAGTTGTTTATTACCTTTGTAGTCATGCAGAGCTCTATTTATCAAGTAAACATTTTCTGTGCAGCATGACCCTCAGTCACAGATTGTTTTGCATGTAGTCTGGAAGGACTATTTACAGCACCTTCTACTTCTCTCTGGAAATCCTGTATTGAGTACAAGTGGAAAAAATTGGCTGAGGTATCTGTAAAGGTATTTTATGAAATATTTTGCTGTGTGCTCACTAAAATGTTCCATTTCTCCTTCCGTATACCTGTTAAGGCTGTTCAGGCTTAGAATCACACAGAACTGGTATTTGTCCTGATATTGGTTACTATATCACAGAAGCTAATAGAAACATTTCTAGGTGTTAGTTTGATGCCTTAAAAGAAAGATTTGTTAACACCTCAAAGAAATGGATAATAGCTTTATTAAAAGACTTTTCAAATCCAGAAAACTAGGAAGAATTGAGAGGACCCTGCCTGATGATAACAAGCAGCCTGAGTAGGTAAGTGGTTTAGACATTCGTGTCAGAAGTGTTGTTCTGAAGTCAGTTGCTCTATGGTCTCTTCCTCTCATGTTTTTCACGAAAAACCTTGAGACAGCTTAGGTTCTTCCTGATGTGAAACAGGAAACATTTTGAAATAGTGGCATTTTTCACAGGACAGGAAAACGTTGTCACCGAATTCTACATGGCAAGTTAACAGTTGTTACTCCTTTTCGTTAAATATAACTGGATTACTGTAAATAAACCAAAGGTTTCAAGATCTCCATTTGTCTTTCTGCACTTGCATTAATTTCTTGGATGAGGGAGACATTTTGTAATACTGTTACATTTTCAAGCAGTAGAAACTAAAAGCCATTTCATTAAGATTGATGCTATTTTATGACATGGGCATGAAGATTTGCTTGCCCGTATTGTTTGCACACCACAGTTTTGCAGTGAAACTTTCATTAGAAATTCTGTAATGTTCAGGGGATTCAGTCATTGGTATCATTTAGTTAGCCCATAGATTTTGAAAACCCACTGGGTATGGCACAGACGTGCATCCACTGAACAAACAGCTATATGTAACCTCCTTCCCTGCTTCTTTATTGCCTTGGTGGGGAAGATCGTGTTCCTATTGCAGGGTCAGCATAATGAAATCTGTACCTGTGCCTCAGCTGCTTCTGATTTTTGCTCCTGCATTCACACAAACCTACCAAAATCAGTAGTTTTTGTTAATGTGTTCATTTCCATGTTGGTGTCGTTAAGGTGCAGCACATAGTCCATGCCACAAAGTCAGGTTTGGGGAAGAGGCAAGAGGGGTGATAGTTTCTAATAGAGTAGATCCAACACCTGGGGGCAGTAATTGCTTAAACTATCATAAATAGGCTCCCCACTGTTTGTGTGACAGCCATCAGAGATTTATAGTAGATCGGAGACATAGATCATTCTTCAGGGTGATACAAGCTGCCCCCAGTGATGCTTTAAATAGCAGATTAATCGACTAATTAATTTTTCTATTTATTTCATAAACATACCTTAAATGGCAGTTCCATTTAACACTCTATAAAGAAATGTCTTTTAAAAATAAAAAAGGCAAACAAAAAATAGCATGGAAGAAAGCTTAAAAATAGACTGCCTGGAGAGAGGAGTTATGGTATAGGATTGTCCCACCAAGAATGGCAAACCTGGTCTTCTCACACTGTGCTGGGGACCTTTGAGATCTTGTAAATAAAGGTGGAATGAGGGGAGTTCTTACTGAGCTTGCATAATTCTTTCTTCTTTATTAAAAATGTTTTCAGTTGTTGAAACTTACAGCTAATGTTAGGTCTCTATTGCTGTTACCCACAACGAAAACTATCTTGTAATTAGGATCTTTTAAAAATAACTTCTGTGTGCCTGACCTGTTCTCTCTGCAACAGGATTCAGTAACTACTGAAACAACTCTGTGGTTGGGTTTGGGGGTGCGATTTGGCTATTCTGCGGGCAATATTAATGTAGGTGGAAATTATTTAGAGGGATTCATCTGTTCTAGGTAAATAGTATTGGATTTTTGTTACTACATTAGAAAAGTCTGTGTTACAAAGAGCCTACAAGTTGATCAGTCATTTGTTTACTGACAGAATTGCTAGGAAGAGGTGGGCTTTGGGCTTTTTCTTTTTAAAGGAATAGTTAATCTTCAAGGTGAAGAGTAGGTAATTTATTTATTTGCTAGGCAGTTCTGGGTAGAGAGGAGAGCAAACACTAAATCATTGTAAAATAATGTCACTGTAGTGATTTGAGAGGTGCATGAAACTCCTGTTATGAGCCATTCTTGCCAATCACACTTTTCAGCTGGATGTTGGCATAACTGGTTCCTTGATGGAGGTCTGAGGTGCATGAAGATCTCTGAAGAGTCAGTGCTCAAACCAGGTTTTAAATCACATAAAAGACGTGTAAAAGTGTCAAGTAGCCTTAAACTTTATATTATGGTGTGGTCATGAGTATGTGAGATGAAAAGTTTAATGCAGAAAATCAAATATTAACTGTAAAATGTAATTGAAGATGCAAGACTTTTTTTTTTTTTTATTCCTTTAGATTAGCCTACCACAAATATCTATTTAATTTACAGCATTATTGATTGCTTAACAGAAGATTTTATTTATCTTATTTCTTTAGTAACCACTAGTTTTGCGGTGAAACCTTCCTGCATATTTTACTGCCTCTTTGGTTACACAAACAATGATTCATAAATAAATGTTTAACTCCACTAGAGTTAATGCGGTATTTGCACATGGATTATAATGTATTGTTTGAGAAATTTAATACATAGCTCAACTGTGCTCTGGGTATCAGTTTGAAATTGGATGCTGCAGGACCTGTTGTAGTCACTACCTTAAAATCTCAACAGATAGGAAGCATTATTTGCATTTTCAACTCTCTATTGGAGCATGATCTGGAATTAAAGCTCCTGTAAATCTGTCTGATGTGCCTGTCTATGCCTCCTCAAAGCTCACCCTGGAGAAGAACGGAAAAAAAACCCACAAGAACAACTCATGACCATGGTTCTTGCTCAAGGAAGACTGGACCTCAAATGCTCCTTTGAAAGTCCCTGCACAATGGTGCCAGTGTCTTAAGAAAACCCTTTATCTGCAGTTGTTTTGGAGCTTACATTAATGAAAGGGCAGACAAATGGGCATCATATGAAACCCAGGATTGACAGTGAGTCAACAGCAAATGCGAATATATGAGAAGTGCTGCAGGAGTACCACTGTATGCTTGCTTACCAATTTGTCTATCAGTCATTTCATGGTCTAGGAGCTCCTGAGCTACAAATCGCATCTTCAGATATGGAGTTTGTCATGGATTTTCTTCCTTTAGTTTGCCCAGCTACATGAACTTTAAGCTTAATTACACATTTTGTGAGGAAATAACTTTTTTTTTTTATTTTGCTTTGAAGCTGGCCTTCTGTGCTTTTCCTTGAACGTCTCCTGCTCTTAAAACAACCAGAAGTTGTTCCATATTTACCATTCCTGTGTCACGCATGATCTTGTGGAGGTCTGTCTTCTGCTTTCATCTGTCTTTTTCTTGCCTCTGTTTAAGTGTTCCTCTTACAAAAACTGTGCTGTGTTTGTCCCGTGTTGCCATTCTCTCTTGACCTGTTGTATTGGTAGATGAAAACCAACCAGAAGTGCACGTAGAATTGAGTTGGTATAGGATGCGTGATGAAATTACTTTGTGATGAATTTTTCACTTTTGCTCTGCATGTCTCTTCTAATAGTCTGTATAATTCAGTTTTATTTTTCTTGTCAGCTCAGTGCCGAGAAGCTGTTACTGTCATAGGCGGCTCTGTTGTAACCCAAAGTTTGTGTCCCAGGGTGCTGGTAGTCAGCTCCAGGTCTGTTACTATATATCTAAATGTAAGAACCCTTATCTGTGAACTCTTTTGCCCCTCATCTGACTTTCAGAGAGAGGTGCAAATCCCCCCCCTTGTTCAGAGGAAATAAGAGTTGGTATGAGAGCAGGATTCAGTGTCAGGAGGCCTTGCTACTTTGCTCTAAGAACGGACTGGCTGGTTAAAAACATCTGGTCTTTGCTTATTTCTTCTTCCCCCTCTGTCTTATTTCTTAAGTTTTAAGGAAAAGTGGTATTTGGAAATAGAATAATTGCTTAAGAATAGACCAAATGAAGTAATGGACTGAAAGAAGAACAGTATTAAACTTGGGATTTTGTATTTGTGATGTTTTCCCTCAGTAAGCATTCACTTGTTCCTTTTCCCTTTCTGATTATTCATGTACTCTTCAGCTAAAACTTCAACAACTGCATGCCATTCGAGTGTTTCACGGTTGTCTGGAGCATGTAAAATTTGGAGTACTGTGGCAGCGAAACTATGAGACTATCTAACTTGCACCAGAATTAATTGGCTATTGAGAATACGCTTTCAACTTGGCTAGTGCTTTCTGGCTTGGTGCTGTATATGTTCTGGACTTTGACACGAGAAATAAAGATTGGCAAGAGTTGTGCTTGTTTTGCTGCCTTTACTGTCTATACCATTTCTTGCTCTCCCTCATCAGTAGAGTATGTTCTGTCCTGCATGATTGTTTCTACATAAGGCTCCCCTGAAAGCTCTGGAAAAGTGGCCCACAGGTTTTAGAAGAAACCCCTGTGGGGACCTGCCTGCAACTTGGGTGTTTATCTGCTTTAGTGGTCGGTTGGCAACCACTCTAGCACCTTTTCTTACATAGCATATCTCTCTGAACTTGGATCGTCTGGGAAATAATGAGGGATACTACTCAAATATAATACTGTATTTTTTTGTCCAGGCTAATAACTTTCTCATATATGCTTGCTGAACACCAAGCAGAATACGTGATTTCTTGCACAAGCTTCCCTGTTTTGCTAGAACTAAATCATGTCCACTCTCATCTTGACTGCTGTCTCACACAAGGGAATATAAACACCTAATTTTAAACCTGACTCATTTTTATGATTGTACAAGTGTGCTAGATGATTATTTTTGAAGAGGAAAATTGCTGTGACACCCCTAATCCAAACTTAAATAGGGAATAACCTGGATGGTTGGTTTAAATCTGAGTATGCAACTATCTGTAGTTGTCCATCATACCAAGTCTTGCTGTAGTTGGAGGACAGGTGAAATGAGGGATTGTTACTGCTTTGAACACACAAGGGGGGGGGAGGGGAGGGCAAACAGTTGCTACTGGAAGAAATGTATTAGTTATTTACTGCTAATTAAAACAAAGCACATCAAAGCACTTTCCCTAAGTGGGCTAGAAGCAGAAATGTTACTGATATGAGAAGGACAGGACATACTGTAGGCTACTTTCAGGCTTTAGCAGGCGTTAATAGTTAGCTTATGCTTGATACACCTTTCAAATATTTCTTTGTAATATGAAGGTGCTACAAAAACTGGTTCTGGAACCATGTCGTGAAAAGTGTGTTGGTTGTCCAAGTCAAAGCTTAAAGTTTAGCTCTGCTCTTGAAAACGTGTTAGCTGTATCGGTTTGTAGGTGCAAAATGCAGATAATTTTCATTCTGCAGACTTATATTAGATTATATTCAGATAATTTTCATTCTGCAGACTTATATTAGATGTGTGCACACATTCGTGATTAAGAAACACAAAAGGAGTCGGTGAAGATCATAGCAGTGAGCATGAATTTTTCTTTCTTAGGGCAGAAATATCCTTTTAGTAAGGTATACCAAGGGATTGCGTGCTGTAGAAACCACAATGGGAATTGTGGCTAGACCCGACTAGCATTCATGTTGGTTTTGTTTAGCAGAACATTATGTAAAGCAGGCTAGGAGAAGTGGATACTTAGCAGCAAAACAAGGAGAATCATCATGCTAAATTACGTTGAAGTTCCAGAACGTAACCTGTAAGACTTCTTTTCAGCAAGGTGAGGAGCATGGAAATGAATCTGTCCCTAAAGATTAGCAGACGAGCTTATCTGTGATTTCCTGACCATAGTCTGTTTGATTTGTCAGTCCTGTCCCCTAGAAGCTAATTTATTGGGACTGGATATATTAGACAGACATCAATGAAGGCTTGAATTCCTTTTTCAATATATCCTAAGAAATCTATAGTCTGGGTTAAACTTCCATTTTGGTATTTTTACATGTGATATCATCCACAGTATTTGCCACAGACATGAATGCTACTAGGAAACCTTTCAGTCTTTAATTTCTAAAGCGTTTGTCACGTTAATGCTCATGCACAGGAACCTGAAAGCAAAACTTCCCTGGGACTTGAATTTCACAGAACATACTGAACTAAATAAGTATACTGAAAATATTGCTAGTTTCTCAAGTACCCAATAGCCCCTTCCTTCTCCAAAACCTGGAAGTTTGACTAGAGAAAGGGGACCTTGTTTTTGTTCCATGCAGGTAAAGCAATCTCTTGGTGTATTATGTAACTTCTTTTAATTGGGAGATGGGTATTTTGCCATGGAGATAATGAGACACTTTGTATCTAATGCGCATTTTTTTTTTCTGTTGTTGTTTTGTTTAGTGGGAGACTTTGATAAGATCTGGCGTGAGCACTGTGAGGATGAAGAAACTCTGTGTGAATATGCTGTGGCAATGAAAAACCTTGCAGATAATCACTGGGCAAAAACTTGTGAAGGGGAAGGCCGAATTGAATGGTGTTGCAGGTAAATCTTAATATGTTTGAAAGACGCAATTGTACGCTTCTACTTGCAATTATTTATAATACAAGGTTTAAGAATTTTTTTTGCCAATTTTTAAGATTTATTGCTTCCTAAAACAAATACCTTCTTACTGTTCCAACTTACTAAGGAAATGCAGCTTATGAAGTGTTTTGTTGTAAGATGACCCTTTTTAAAAGTATCTTCAACAAACAAGGTTGTTTGGTTTTTTTCCCTCAAATACTGAAGCTGTTTGCAAGTTAACCTATGAAGTAATTTTGTATACATTTGAACCTAAACTGAGAAAATGCAGTGCATGTAGCTCAAGTTTAATTTTCAGGACTTAGGTTTGATTTGTGCATATGGTAGCGTTTGGTTTCTAAATGCAAATCTCTGCTGCATAATTTTCAAGTCTTAATCTTTAGCCTCTGTGAAACTTCATTTTAAATGGATTTTAAACTTAAAAATTCCTATATGTCAAAACCATCTAATTTTTGTGGGGTTGTCTTAATAGTAAAGTCATGAAGTGAGTTCAGCTAAACTATTTCAATCCTTGAGGAAAATAAACTCATAAAAGAGAAATGTTGGTCACTCAGGATTCCTGCATACAGTTGGCATCCAAGGCATACCATGGAATCTCTACAGCAGAGTAAACCAAAATATTGTTGAAGTCTAACTTGAAAGAGAATTTATCGATGGTTCTGCCCTTGGGAATGACTTCAGACAGGCAAAAAGTAATACTGTGTGCCAGTGTGTAGGTCTTGCAGGTGAGTGTTGCAGTGTGATGAGGAAAAGGCAGCAAAGAAAAAAAGGCATGGTATTGCTAAATTTAAATTCATTACATGGGTCCTTTGAGCCCATAAAACAATAAAAAAAAAAGGGGGGGGGAGGAAGAACTGTGAAACAGTTGATCTAGAGGACATTTTAATGGCAACTTGAGCTGTTCTGTGGCTTCTGGAAATGGAGCAAGTAATAACAAGCCGTTTTC